GGCGCGCGCCAAGCTGTACTTTATGTCCTCGAGAAGTTAGAAGATTTTCGAAACTCTTGAACGTTTCGCTCTTTTCATCTTTCACTTTGATCAGCGCGAAAGAAGAAGATGGACGAGCGGTCGTTTGCTTAGCGCAACGTAATAATTTCGTTCGAAGGACATGAAAACGACCAGCATAAATTTTCCCATCGTTTTATCCGCACTATCAAGCAGAATGTCAAGATCAGATAATCTGGATAGACAGAATGGCTCTGGACGCGTGCCAACTCTTTATTCGAAGCGATTTATTTGATGGTCACTTTTTATCACTTTTTCGAAGAAGAAAATTTGTTAATTGATATATCTCGTATGACGTAAAGTGAGATATATGCGAGGATACAATCATTTTCTGGTGAATTATTAAAATTGGCTGGAAATATTACAGCATAATTTAGAATGCGTATTATCGTATTACATAGAAATATTGTAATAATGTACTGTTATTCTCATTAAATAATTTTAATCAAGGCATTAAAACAGTACTTATGCGATACGTAATATTCAACAATAGTGTAATAGAAACTGTCAAAGCGCCGTTATAAAGTGCCACGAACTACCGCCTCGCAACGCAATATAATTGAATAACTTGAAGCATGTTGCAAACTAAATTTTAATTACGAATTATTTTATCATTTAAGGTAACGATAAATTCAAAAATTAACGAGAACTAACTCGTATAATTGATCGATATAATTCTGTTTTTGGTTCATTGAAAATACGTCAGAAATCAGCTGATTCGTATTCACGATAGTCGTACGAGAGCAGCGCCACGACCACGCAGTCGCGGCGGCGATACGAACTAATTTCCACCTCCTACGTTCGCTAAGCAGGGATTCCTTCGTGCAGTCCAGTTCCGATGTTCCTGCGCGACGGTACGAAACGATCGAGGTGCTCCGGTGTACAACTCGTGTCCGAGGTGTGTTTCAACCGTTTTCTTCGCACGTGAAGCGAGTGTCGCGATACGAAAAGTCAGTGAAAAAGTGCGTGAAGTCAATAATATCCCTTGGAAACCAGTGTGTGCGGACGAATCGAGAAAACTTGGTAAAGTATCCCTACGCGTGTATACGAGCGAGTCCGCGCGACTCTGTCGAAATCGAAAACGGTGACAATTGGGTTCATGATATCGCGTTTCCCGTCCACACTTCGTAATATCCCTATCTGTACGAACGGTTAGTTACAGATACTAAATCGTAGATTAGGCAGATTAGATTTCGTGTGGGTGCCGGGGTACGGCGATCGACGAGGCCTGTGTTGTTTACGCAGTCGACAAAGTGTGGGACAAAGAGCAGAGAAAAAGAGAGAAGAAAAGAGAAGCGTGCTGGAAACGGACAAAAGGATTCGAACGTGTGTGCGTCTGTGTGCGTTTAAGTGTATGCGTGGTCTCTTTTGACGTGAAGATGTTCACGAATCGTGCGTCGCACGAGCTGTGAGCTCCTCGACGAATTCGATTTTAAATGAATATTTCGAACTCGTATACGATCGCTATTACTTGTGTCGTTAACAATACAAAATTCCATTTGAGGTAATACCTGTCTGTCGTGTGTATATACATAGAGGAAAGTAAATGTTATTGTGACACGTTACGTGACACTGTTTTTCGAACGATTTGATTCGCGGAATCACAAGGTTCTAGGTATTCGATATATTGTTGATGAACGAACTTTTCATAGTTTACGTTAGAATGTAAGTGGAAAAAAAAAAAACAGAGAGGGAATGGTATTGTCTATAGAATTTTCGATAGTTTTTGCCAAGACTTTACACAACTGTACCAGTGTATAATAGGTTGCCTAACGAGGCTTTCTTGTATACATTGTTTCAATATGATTGCATATCTCTTATGACGTAGTTGACTTTTTTGAATCGTTACTTTACAATGCATCAAAAAATGATTTCCTTGATACGTTTTTTTACGTCCTCTTTTACGTTCTCTAAGGTAATTTTTTGCCTCGGTCTTTGAAATTTCCGTTTCATTACAGCCAGTATTAATTTTCATTAATACTAATGAAAAATAACATATATTTATCAATTATATTAAATATATTAGATTACCATTTCAAAATTTAAAAATAATAAAAAATTATTTTATGCATTCATCAAAATTCGTTTCATGGATTACTCACGTAATCCAATACACTTCGTGATTTCAGAATTCTGAAAATTTCAAATTTAAAAAATATTTTCGAAATACATTTTTCCCTTACCAAGATTGAATTTCGATCGAATTTTCGAGATGCTTGGAATAATAATTTAGAAATTCAGAGATTCAAAATTGAAAGTTCTAACGTGGAATCGGTATCGAACACGTAACTCGTTCCCGATATCGATAGTCGGGCGATTTAGCGGGCAGCCAGAGAATCGCACGGCGATGCACGAGTCACGTATACCGCAAAGAAACCTTGACTTTTTTGTTCGGACGATCTTTCCAGCAGCGTATCTGGCCGGCCATATTTTCTGCCCGTGGCCGTTCGTGTCGTACCGCGTATGAAAGTGAAAACCAGTTATTCTCTATCGTTTCGTCCCCCTTCCCGTATTTGGTCACCGAATAAGATCGTCGTGGCGCGCTTGTTTTAGGGGCTCGATCGATTTTTACCGTACAGCTGCGTCCGATTTCTTGCCTCGAAGCACAGCACCGGAATCTCGTCTCGATCGGTCGTTAACGATTTTATAAGCGTGGCGTAAACGTTGCTGCATTGATTTCATTGTCAATCGATGGGATAATTTGTTACCGTAGCGCGTAGTGGGACGCTTTGAGAATAATGCTTACGCCATTTTAAAATTTTTTCTCTTTACGGATGTTGAGCGTTTCCTCTCTTCTATTTCCTGTTGTCATTGAATTCTCGAATGCGTCTCGACATTATAAATTTTATTTTTCTTTATCATTAAATTATTTTACGTAGACGCATAAACTTCCACGGCATATAATAAAGCGAGGGAAACAATAACGACATTAAGAGGCTAGAGTTGGAATTATTATTTATAGGATAAATTAGCAATGATAACGGTGGAAATAGTGGCAGAGGCTGTACTGTTAACGATAATAACCATAGTCATTAAGATGAAATAGAATAGATGAGGTGTTTGAACGGTATTATTATACTGTTATTCGGATCGAATTCTTAGTTCATGCGAATAGATACGTATCGTTGGCGTGCATTTCTATTGAATGACAAGAGAAATTGATCCCAATGCGAACTTTGCGAATCATCAAAATATCGTTTTTTTCGCATCTTTATGAAAAATTATTTTATTCGTATTTTATCGATAAAACGTAACTATAGCGTGTATAAATAATATATATTCCGACACAAGGAGAGTCGTTCGCTGCGGACAAATGAACTGGTTCCTGAAGGAACAAGGACGAGTTTATCGGCCCGTTGAACAGATAAAAGGGTATCGAGCTTGCACAACTCGCTCGCACCTGTTCGCGCCGTGAATGATTAGCCGCTTTGCCGAAAGGAAACATTTTATTATATAGATCGAGGCGCGCCTTCGCGTTTTGTTATTACACGTGTGTTGGAAACCATTTCTCCGCCGGACCTACTTAACCCTCTCCAACGTGTAATTTATCATTCGGCGAAGCCATTGTAGCCATCGAGATATCATCATCGATCCTTCTCTTCTCTTCCCCTTTACTTTATATTTTTTACTGGAAAATTTCAATGCGTGAAATTTCTTCGTAAAAAATATATATACACCTGGCGATATTCGATCTAAAGTTTTTACACGATCGTTTGAATTGGGATGATTAATTGGAAAATCGCGTTAATTCGAGAGAGAAAAATCACAAGATAGAATTAACTTTCTCTCGAAACCTTCCTTCGATCTTTGTTGCTTTCTAATTTGAATTTTCCATCCTCGTCTCGTTTTTATTTAAATAGTTGCCCGTTGTGCCATCGGCTCAGAAATAGACAGCTCCGTTTAGCATTGCAAACGTATCGTTGCCCCATTTCGAGTGTCGAGTTACCGGTGTCTCATCGAACGTGCGTGATTAAGCGACCGGAGAATTTGATTACAGGGCACGATAGCCAAGATAGATCCGATAGAAAAGTTTTCCATTTGTGCCAAACATCGCCGGCTGATGTTACTTATGCACGTGCACGGTGCAATGGCGAAATTC